GGGAGAGAGCTACTTTAAATTTCTGCATTCAACAAATTAAGAAAATAAATATTGGTGCCCTTGTCTATCAGAATGCCCATACTTCTTCTAGAGGTGGCACTACTTGAGGTTTAGGTTGCCCTACTTTGATTTTTACTCTATGTAATCAATATGGATTAAGGAATGATAGATCTAAAGAATTGATACAACCACTTAAACCTATTAGTAAGCCTAGTGTCCATACATATAAGTTGCATGCTGGACAGAAAGCTAGAGGTAAAAGTAGTGACATACCATCTACTTCAGCTTCTGGACCTTCCACTTCTTACACTACTTCTTTAGAGAACGTTATGGAGCAGTTACTTATTCAGCTAAGCTATTATTTGACAGTTAGGAATCATATGAGGACTATACGGGCAAGAAATTACCATGATGATGAATGCATGCAAAGGAAAGTAGATTATGAGATTGCATATAATGAGGCCATGGAAAGGTATTTGAGGGGCGATCATAATGTAGAATTCCCTACCTGCCCCTGATTTATACTCTATGAGCCCGAGGTAGAATCTGAAGAAGAAGATGAAGATGATGAGGAGGAGGATGATAACGAGTTGTTTATTTTCATGCTTATTTTCTATTGTTTGATTTTATGTTTATTTGGATTGTTTGTTTGTCAACTTTATTTTCATATAATGTGTATTATAAGCAGGAGTTAAACTTTTTATATTTAGATGTAGATTGTTTGTTTTTCTTTTAGTGTTGTTTATTATAGCAATTTGTTGATTATGTTTAGAACTCTTTTCTACTTATCAAATCTTTTTGATTTATCATGTTTTACATAATATTTTATGCCCTATTCTTTGTAAATTGGTACCTGCAAAGTTTCAAGTTCAAAACCCTTTACAAGTTAGCTTTATTTAAATGCATTTTATGTTTTATTTTTACCTTTATTTTTTTATTAAATTTTTTATCTATTAAAAATTTAAGTTTGGGGGGAAGAATTTTTTTAAAAAAAAAAAGAAACTAAACTTTAGTTTGGGGGGAAGAATTTTTTTTAAAAAAAAAAGAAACTAAACTTTCATATCAGAGGTCAACTTGAAGATAACTATATTTTTTGATTTTATAAATACAATTGTTGACTTAACTAAAAATCTTTAATAATGAAGGTTAGTTCTAAAAGTTAAGATATTTAGTATAAGAGTATAAGGTTATGTGTGTACTATTTAAAATAAAGGAAATTGTATTTTTGGGTAAGATATTTAGTATAAGAGTATAAGGTTATGTGTATACTATTTAAAATAAAGGAAATTGTATTTTTGGATATTAAGAGAGCCTTAGAGTTATATAAAAAGGAAGTGTTGAGATTTATAAAAAAATTTAAAGCTAATATACATTTATAAGCAAGTTACGTATGAGGTTTTTAACTTTAACAAGAGGATAATGAAGTTCAAAATCCATTAAAACAGAACGGAGTAGCAGGACTGATCGGATCGGTGACAGAATGTATAAGAGTGGTTGTAATGGGGGGGGGGGGGGGGGATAAAAAATAATCCTAAAAGAAAAAAAAGAAGAAAATAAGAAAAGAAAAGGAACAAAAAAGCAAAAATGAAAAATATATGTGAGGAGAAGCTTGAGAAGATGCCTAATAAAAAATTGACTTCACTTGAATCAACTTAAGGAAAGAGACTCAAATACATTCCTAAACTTGTATTAAATTATTTGCATCTTTACTAATGAAGTTCTCATCAAGTTCTTTTTCATATAGTTCTTTTAAGTATCCTTAATATGACGAATTACAATTATTCTTGAAATGAATAAGAAACCAAAACTCTTAGACTTAAGTATTAGATATTCTTACATTTTTAATTTTAACCTAAGTCATTAAAAGTATTTTTTAAAGTCTTACTATTGCTTTTACAAAACAAAAACTAGAGAATTTTTTAAGTGATACTCACTACCTTAAGTCGTATTTTTATGTATTAAAAGAGATAATTGAGGACAAATAACAATTAAGTTTGAGGGATTTTGATACACCAAAAATATATTCAATTTTTCTTATGTATTGAAGGTTTTTTTTTGTGATATTGCACTTTAAAATGCATTGAATTTGGATGGATTTTGAAGAGGTGCCTATAGAGACTCTTGGGAAATTCATCCCATTCATCCCTACATTATAAAATAGTGTTTTTATGTTAGAATGAGGGGGTTAGCGTGAGTCTCTAGAGAGAGTTAGTGAGTGGGGCGTGAGTTCTAAGTTGGTGGAGAGTGTGCAAGTGTCTCTAAGAGTTGTAAGAGGTGAAGGAAAGTGAGAGATTTCTTCTTCCTTACATTTCTAAGAGAGATTTGAGTGTTATTGTAGAGAGAGAGATTCAAAGGAACTTTAAGAGATTTGCTTGGAGAAGAGATTGAGTTAAGTTGTTTTATTTTTTCTTTCTTAATTTGTAAACTTGTTTTTATATTTAAAATTCATGTTTTGTTCTATCTTCCTCATGAATTCTGAGTAGATTTTGTTGTCCTTATCCCTGCAAAGAGAAAAGGTTATGTGAAGAATAAAGTTGCTATGTAATATTTTAATTTCATATTTGTGATCAAACTTGAAACTTCATTTACTTTTTGATATGATCAATTGAGTTATTAAAATTTATTGTGAAACATATGATCTGGAAGGTCTATGCTTTTCACAACAAAGTAAGAGTCACAATCGATTTTATGGATGAAAATGTAGTCCATGGGATTGAGTACAAATAAATAAGAAAATATTCATTGATTGGCGTAAAATTGGAGATTTTAGGGTGACAAACTAAAATCCCCAATTTGGTTCAGACGTTTGGAAACTAAAGCGAGATGTTTGCCCTCAGGCAAGGAGAATGTGAGAACTCTTGAGTGAGAGCCAGTATCTTCTCAGCCTAACCACATATTTAAGGACTAAACACTGGATTAACTAATGTTCTTTATCACTTGTAAAAAAGGATAAAGAATATAATTGCTCATATTTGACACAATATAAATTTATTTAATTTGATGATTCACTGACTATAATCTCATTGTAAGGGGAATGATGCTTTTTTAAATTTAAACTCTTCATCACAAAACCTAATTTCGTTTTTAGTAAATTTGGCTTTGAAGCTTAGAGATTAGTGTAGTAAACTTAGTTTCTTTAGTAGCATTATACAAAATTCGATCTGGTTTCTTGCTTAAATTTTCTATAGTTTAAATATTGTGCTTTTGCGTGACTTTTCAAATAAATTTTCACCTCCTTGTGAGATCGATACTCAAGACTCCATTAGAGCTCTTTATTACTTGAGCGATGTGTATACTTGTGTTTGCAACCTAATGAAGATTTGAAATTGAAAGTACACCTTAATTCACTAGGAGTGGGAGCATTAGATATTTTAAAAGTGAAAGCTTATTGTACTGAAGTAAATTTTATTGTGATTAATTTGCATATTTTTTAGTATACCTGCCTTGTGTGTTATGGTGTTGAAAAACATTTATAACACATAACATAAATCACCGCATCAACCATTATTATCCCTTAATGCATTGTAAATTTCTTTCATGTATGGTAGAAATGCGTCGGCATGAATCTCAAGAAAATTTAATAGACAATAAAACAAAAGAATGGTCAACAATGACCCATCTGAAAGAGCAAGGACCATATGAGCAGAAGACTAAAGGATTCCGTTGACCAGCCACAACTCCCTCATAATAGGAATTAAGCAGATCTAATGAAGGTCTTCGAAATTAAAAATCAAGATTTATCTAATAGAGAGAAGGACCTAGTACAACTCTCATCTAAATATCACAAAATGCCCTACAAGCGTGTCCAAGACTCTTCAGAAGCCCTAAAGTTCTCATCACTGAACATTCATTGAGCCTTCCAGATGTATCTCTTGTCAAAAGAGGTAGACTATATGTTAGAATATGCTAATTCACCCACTTCTTGACAGTTTGGTTCTACCCAACAACATGAGTTTCCCAACCAAGGCTCAGCAGTTGTTCTTCGAATTGAGACAATCGATTGACTGACGCAAGCCAACCAAATGAAGCCTGGATGATTGAGAAAAGTCTGGACCTAAGAACTGTTGGGGTTGACTATTCGCCCAAACTCGAAAGAGTCGACCGATTGTATCTACCCAAACCAAGGATTACAAGTCCTCGCCGACCGAAAAATAGGGTAGCCTAACCATAGTCTTCTTTATTTTCTATATACCAAAAATATCCTGTAACACCCCACATAAAAGTAGGGGCAACCATCTAATTACTACTTTAAAAGAGGGGTAGCATGAAGCATTAAAAGAGGGGCCATTTCTTACATTTTTTGTTCTATATTTAAAAAAAAATAAAAGTAACTGATATTCCTTTCATCGGATTCTTATCACGATTTAGATCAATCCATCGCGAGAAGCAAGTCCTCAAAGCCGAGGTCTTGGGATAGCCTGTGTTGGATCTTCAACGACACGCTGCTCCTTACACCTTGGTTGTCAGCTTGCATCTTCCTGATTGCATTCGATAGCTCGTCTATTTCTTCTTCCTTGTGGCTCCCTCTATCTAAGTACTCCTTCAGATCACTTGCCCCATAACATCTCATATTCTTCCTCCTCCACTACTTTCCTGTCGCCTTCGTGATTAGAGCTCAAGATCAACAGTGAACTCCATATATGCAATATACACAATTTTAAGGGATTGTTTGGTTACAAGTAGGATTTAGTTTAAATAAGACTTATTAAATACTGTAAATCATAATTTATTAAATCCAGAAAACTATTTGGAATGTTAGTAAGTAAATGGTAATAAATCTTAAGAAATTATTTGACAACATTAAAATAATTTAGTAGAATTTATAAGGATATATTGAATATCCAAAAATAAATAGTAAATAAAAAATATAAATGAATATATATTATTTATTAATTATTAATCAATTTAAATAATAAAATAAAATAAAATAAAAATGAATTAAAATCTCAAACCTACCACTCTATCCCT